AAGGGGGGGAAAAAAGAAAAAAAAAAAATCAAGTGAGGGCCATTTCACCATTAGAGAGCTGGCTGTCAGAGAAAAGAATGAAGTGGGAAAAGGGTACTAACATGCCCTGTGGCAGTCAGAAAGACAAGAGAGAACATCAAAGCCTTGCAAATAAGAAACAAACAATGGCCTGATCACAGGCTGCTTCATCTGGGCAGAGCTCCCTTTGAAGATGACTGGAATCCAATGGGCACAAGCCTGCAGGATGGAACCTTGGCTTCTGAAGGAGCTCAGGAACTGCTGCTCCTGGCTGAGGGTTTGTCCAGCCCTGCTCTGCTTCTCCCTAGGCAAAGTCAGCTCCTTTGGACAAGGACACAGAACAGCAAATCTCAGTCCCCTTGTGTGCACAGCTTGTCACAGGTTCAGACCAATGGTGAGCACTCGTTCTTCCTCACCCCAAGTAATTTAATTTTTAGAGGGGATTTCCAAGCCCCTTAGGTCCCCACATGCTTGAGGGAAGATTGGGAAGGTCACACATAGGTGTGACAATGACTCTGTCTTCCTGCATTTAGCAATAATTATAATTTAGCAAAAATCTTCATAATTGTTGGCCTGCAAATTTACCCTTCTGAATAGATCCCAGACCCAGAGCATTTACAGCAAAACTTTATCTCCACAGATCTATTTATAACCCTTCTATGAGCTAAATTCCAAAGTTTTCTTTGTTTTGTTGGGTTGTTGGGGTTTTTTTTGCCATTTAAGGACACAAACCAGAAAATGTGCAAACGGGGTGGGTTCCACTTTGCTTCACACCCTCCACAGCAAGTCCCAAGGGAAAATGCTCTTTATTTGTATTCTGTATACAAGAGGGTGTGGAAACATGTCATGTTTCCATTGCCTGAAATCTTTCCCTAATATTTTCCCCACTGCAGCTTGGCCTGGCCCCAGGGGTTACAATTTCAACTTCTCTCATCAACATGAGACTGAGCAAGCAGATAAGGTCCAGCAGCTTGGCCAGCAGTTTTCCTTCCAAGCTCATGACACTGTGGTGGATCTGTAAGCAAAATCTGCCTTCATGCATTTTTTGGAACATGACAAATTCACAGGAAGACGGGTCCAGATGCAGCACAAACAATTCCATCTTGGAGCACACAGGAAATGCCCTCTAGATGTGACAGCAGTGTCACCACTCAGCCTGGTCCACCTCATTCCCTGGGCCTCAGTGGTTTTATGCCCATAATCTAGAAGTCAAATACATATCTGTGTGAATAAACCAAGAAAAAAAAAAGTCTAAGGTGATCTGGGCAATCAGTCAAAAATAAGGTTGTAGCCAGTGCCTAAACCTGGCATTTTGGTATTGCAAATTCTTTCTAAACACTAATGAACTAAGCCCCAGCAGACCCATGGGCTGAATACAGAAAGGCACAGATTATCTTTTACTTGGAGATAGAGAAACAGACACACAGCCATTAAGTGACTCACCAGGTATTTATGACCACAGGAAAAAATTCAAAGGAGAAATTACTCCAGTGGCCTAAGATATTGCTGGTTTTTTCCCTTTCTTTCACCTGCTTCCTCAGCTATTCCTGCCCTCACTGCAAGCCAGCAGGACAGTCCCCACAAGCAATTCTTCTTGCCTTCAACCCAAGATTTTCTGTTCAGGAGGTGCCCCAATGCTTCGTGGACAGAGTTTTCACCTCTTGAGGGGCAGGAAGGGGGAGAGACATCAGTTTGTGGTGGAAAATGCATGGGAAGGAGCATTTCCTTAATGCAGGATGGGAACCATACAGCTAAAATACCAGCTCACTAACATTTCCTAATGTTTTTGGTTGGGTCAAATCTGTTTCAAGAAATGTAGGAGCAAGCTCCCCCGGGGGTGGGAGGGATCCCAAATTACAGAGTGCTGAGCGTCCTTCCCCGCTGGGCTGGTTGAATGTACAAAAGCATCAGGAAAGAGGAAAAAAAATGTTATATAGTTCAACTGTCCCGTGACCTCGGTGTTTCATCCAGAGAGGTCAGATCTAACATGACCTTTAAATGCCTCTGAGTCAAATTTCAGCCTCAGCCAAACCCTTGACAAGCAGCAGCCACACCTTCCAAGCAAGAGCAGCACCCCAAGAGGAGGTGCTTACACACAGGGTAGGTGAATTCATTCCAGCAGGGAATTCACTCCCCAAATCCAAATCCCCAAATCTCACCCATTTAACCACAAAGCCAGCAAACCATCCCCTGCACATGCACCTTTCCCATGACAAGCTGCCAGGGGGTAGTTACTGAGAGGAGACAATTTTTCAAGAATGAAAGCTCTCTTTGAAGGCAGGCTCCCACTCTTTGCAGTCGCTGCGTGCCTCAGGCTTTGCACACCTGGAGCCAAATCCTGCAAACTCCCTAGAAAGCTCCACTCAAAGGCAACCAAGGATTGCACTTCCCCTTCTGCCCTGTTACCTTTTTTGGTGCTTTCTCCCACAGCCAGGAGAGTCCAGAGGAGCCCTGCAGATGGACAGTTATGATCTCTTGGCCCTCTCATTCCTAGGCATATATGGTTTCCTGTCCCTCTTTGCTCTCACACTGGGATCAAATGTTCCCAGCTGCACCCTTGGCAGACAGGGGTTGAGAACTCCACTGATCTTTAATACAAAGTAAAACTCAGGCTGCCTGCAAGAATAGGTCTCATGTAAGCAACACTACTGAGAAATCAGAGTGTTTTCCACAGTCCCAGAACATTCAAGTCCCGTTTGTCCTGCAGGAAGGAAGTCCTGCGGGCTCTCACTTTTCTACAATGAAAAGATCACCCCCACAGGCAGGGCTGCTCCAGCTGTGCAAAGGGAAGTGTGAAACAAGGAGGACTTCCAGTCAGGCTCCTGATGGAGCCTCCCTGGCATCTTCACAGGACAGAAGCCACGTCCTAGCAGGCAGCCAAGAGAAAAGCCTTGCCTTTGTGTTCTCCCCACCTGGACACCCTAATCCTGGGTGGGATTGAACAGATGCTCTGTGTCACACGTGGCACCATGAATGAGACCAATAAAAACACCTTCCCATCTAAATGCACTTCAGTTTTCCCCCTAATGCCAGCCAGGGGAGCTTACACCCTTTCCCCACTTTGCTTTTCACCTATATTTCAGTGTCATTACTCCCTTGTGCATTGTTGGACAGGAATTAAAAGCACAGGGGAAGTGACCCCTTTCTCAGGCTGCTCCATGTCAGAATATCGCTGTGAGTATGTGAAGAAGCAGTTGTAGAAAATCCCCCATGCTCCTAAAACGTGTTTACATCACTCACTGTCAAAGTGTACTCAGAGTACACAGGACTCCTCTCTCATCAGAGCCTGAATCCATTAATGATGGTGTTGATTTCACCAGGACTAATCCTGTGAATGAAGGCTGTGGAATTTATCCTCTTGTCATTGCAAGTGGCAACAAAGAGGAGTTTTCAGGGAAAACAAATTATTTCGATTGAGCCTCTTGTTTGCAGACAGCTCATCTGGTATTTCTTCCCTGCCATCATGATTTAGGGTCTCCATTAACATCTGCAGGTTTTATTAAGATTGCCTACCAAAGCAGCTTCCCCATAAAAAGGCAGACCTAGCATTTCTTCAAATACATTGAGAAAAGTTCTGCTCTGCTTTACCTTATAGGCTAATTTAATAAAACAAATGGACTAAAAGTTTTGCTCCATTTGTAATTAATGTTAAAAGAGTCTTTTCCATTGATTTTGGTGTGTGTGGCTTTAGGGTTCCCATCCTGTCTAAATGGCAGGAGAAAAAGATGATACTTGCTGCAGATGAGAATGTACTGCTACATTTAATGAGACAGAGCCCAAGGGTTCTCCAATGGCAAATCATACAAACACAATCATTCACAGTATGGTATCTAAAATAGACAAATTACAATAAATACATGGTTCTAACAAAAAATCCCACTCTGCCTCCTTATTTTCTTTGAGTTGCTGCCAAGGAGGGAATGTGTTATTTTCCCAAATTATTCTCCTGTCTGCCTTTCAGCAGGGGAAGCCTTTCTCAGGCAAAACTGTACAAAAACTGCATACTCTGAAAAAAAAATTCTCCTCGGAAAACAAATATCCCATAAAAAAAAAATAAAATAATTAAAACAGTTGTGTTTTCATTCTTCCCAACAACATTTGACATGTGAGACAAATCTACTCTATCCCTGCAGGTCTGGCAGCTTGGTCAGTGTCTGCAGCTACCAAGAATTCATCTGCAGCTACCAAGAATTCATCTGCAGCTAACTTCCTCCCTCCCTTCATTTTCCCAGCCCTTTCCCTGAGAAGTTTCCCTGCTAGGGCAGAATATCATGCTATCAGCACAATGCAAGTGTCCCAACATGTCAAAGGGCTGGGAAGGAGAGCCTGCTAGCCAGCTCTGACAAACACAGGCTTCCAAGAGCTCCAGTCCCACCCAGGAGCTTTTCCTCATCCCTTCTTTTAACAGGGAATGCAACTCCACAAGAAAAACCCCGGCAGTGCGCGTGTTGGAGGGCTGAAAACAACAACAACAAAAAAATACACTGATGCCATCTATTGTCAACAATACTTCTGTGAAAGGCTGCCATGAGGGACATCTGCTTCAGCAAGCATCAGATCGCTTACATTAACCAGAGCTTTGCTGTGACTGTATCACTTACACCCCAGCACTGCAAGTCCACATATTGAGTTGCAAAATTAAAAGCAATGCAACAGACCTTAAAAATTTTTCTCAGAGCGAGTCCTTAAAAAAAAAATAAAAATAAAATGAAAATAAAAGGGTGGGTGGGGTGGGAAGAATAAAAAAATAAAGAAAGGATAGGTAGGTTGTTGCCTCTCTAAGAAGCCCATCCAAGGATGAAGCGGTGGGACCAGCCCTGCATCCCCCTCCACCCGAAGCTCACCAGGAACATCTGGAAAGGGGAAGAGGGGGGCAAGGAGAGAAAGGAGGAGAGCAAAAAGCCTCCGACAGCTCGTTCTGTCCCGCATGCTGCTCCAGGAGCTGCCTCCCGAGCAAACACATCCCTCAAACCCTTCCTTACCTCGGGCTGCGAAGTTCCCAGCTCGGAGGAAGGAAATGAATAAAGCCCGGCTGGAGAAAGGCACGGCAGCAGCCTCTCACACACACACACACACACAGACACACACAGCTCTATTCAATAAAAGCGCAGCTTTCCCTTGGCCCCTCCCAAAAAGCCAATGCTAAGTGGATACATATCCCCGATGTTTACAATTGGCAGGAATGCATTGTCCTGGCTTTATTCCGATGCGCTCAAGCCAAGGTGGGTCCAGCCTGCCTGCAGAGATGCCTGTCATTCCCCAGGCATGCTCAGGAAGCCACTCATCAGAAAACCAAGAGCTAAAAAAACCTCCGAAAATTCGTGCGAGCTGCCAAAAGTGTCTTGCTACATGCCCTTTTTTGGTTATCCTTAGCGGGGCCTCTGAAAGTAAATCCTCTGTCAGGAACAATCATAAGAAATGTTAATCTTGGAGAAAGAGGCTGTCTTGTTGAGCACAAACGGAGCTTAAAAAAAGGAAATGCGCTGGGTGGAAAGGGATACTGTAAACATATTTACTCTTTGCGCCTTTTTTTTTTTTTTTTAATCAGATAAATAATGGTGCCGCAGCTAAAATTCATTGTTTTTTTTTTTTTTGTATTTTTTTTTTTAACGAGGACCACATGTAAAAGGCAACAGAAACACTCTGCTGTGCAAGTTTGGTTCTGCAGAGAGACACCAGTGGGAAAGGCACATGAAGGATGAGTTGGCAGGCTTCACAGCCTGATTCCATTTCAAACAGTACAATAGAAGTTACAGATAGAATAGCCATGTTCTGAGAAATAACTTTTAAAGAGACTCAAAACTTTGATGATGATCCTTGGCAAGCTGGACTGCCTTGGATAAACTAAACCTGTGGACACACAGGTTTAGTTTATTGTTCTACAACTACTCATCACAACATTAATCCTGGGTCATTTACTATGAGAACAGCCCCACATCTCCTTCATATGACCAATATTAGCACTGTCTTTGAACATCATCAATAAATTAAACTATTTTCTGTCTTCGTGCTTTAGTCATCTCACACTGCTGATAACTTTGCAAATTATGCAGGTATCTTCAAAAATGGACAGACAGATAAAGACTGATGGTGAAAACACACAAAGCACGTAAAATAAAGATGGAAATGATTGCCTACAATAGAGATATGGATCAGAGATCCCAACTTCCACATGTACCAGCCACTAAGAAAGGCTGCAGAGCAGCTGACTGCTCTAAGGGAATGAGATTCCAGACCAGGACATGTCCTGCAGATTCATATTTGGCAGTAAAATACACAAAAGCAGTTAGGGGGAAGCTATGTGTAAGATGACTTTGCAGCTGAATGGGCTGAACTTTTTTAATGCTTTTCTGGGTCCTTTTTTTCTGGCCACTGGGCCCCACAGATTTAATCACGTGTAATGCAAGAAGGATCCAGTCCACAGACAGTAAACTAATCCTTATAGCATAAAAAAAAAAAAAAATATTCAAAGAGAGCCAAATCTATGCAGATTTACAGCAAGGAATCATAATTATTCTAGTGCCATTTTAAATTTCACTGCTTTATTATATGAAGCAAAAAGTGGTGTTTGTTTTTTGAAGGCACTTTTTTCCTTCATTTTAACAGCCCTTTGGAAAATTCTTCTAATGCCAGACAGCTCCCACGATGTGGCTACAACAGTTTTAAATATTAAAAGTAATACCTACAGCATATATGGAACTTTGTTTTGCAGGATTTATTAGACAAGAGAGAACAAAATTCTTGTTCTCAGTCATTCCATTAGCTACAGAAATTATTAGCCTATGTATCCACGACCAAATAAAAAGAGGTAGTGACGTTATTCAGGAAGGAATTACAAATCTCCACTGGATCTTAGCATCCCCTAGGTTTTTAGGGTGGAAAACATTGAAGAATCCAGGCTAAGAAAAAAGGTAGGAGGGATGAACCACCTAAAGCTGAAAGCAGCTGGGGGTTCTTGTGGTATTTTAGCTTTTTTTCCTTCTTTTCTTACCATGACTTTGATATTCCCTTGCCAAAGCATCCCAAACTCTGTGTTCCAAGTCACCTTTCCATCAAAATTCCACAAAAAAGCCACCCAATTTTGCTTTGGGAAAATTACACCGTGAAAAGTAACGTTTGTGTCCTTCTTGCTCAGTTGAGTTTCACTGAGAGGAACTTTGGAATTCCACTTGAAGCTTTGAAGCCAAGAAATTGTCAGAGATCCCAGAGTTTTCCTGGGGTTTGCTGCTGGAAAGCTGAGCTTTGAAGAGTGCAGAGTTAAATTGTGCTGGGCTGCCCCTCTGCATCCTTCAACAGGAGCCACCTGTAAATGCCTGTAAATGTTATATTTATGTAAATATGGTTAGAACATGCCTAAACCCACAGTTGTAACAATTTAGGGAACTCCCATGGTAGTCCTTGCCCTCACCACCAGCACTGCCACTCCAGCCACAACCTCACTTTTGCTTTAACAATGACAGACCCTTTGTGCCAGACCTAAAAATATTTCCAGAACTGGAATAACCCAAATCCTGGTTTATGACTGCACATGTAAGACATCAGGAAAAAAAAAATAATACATGCAGAAATAAAATCCCTAAATCAAGCCCAATTTTAATATCAGTATCTTATCACAGTGAGGAAAGGCCCTGCAAGTGCTCTTTGCTAAGCTCTAAAGTTTGATAATGCAGGGCAAGGGTGGGACTGCTTGTGATAAGAGTCGAAGCACTTTTATATTTTGGGTTGTTAGTGCATTCTTGGAGACCTCAGCCTGCAGTTTCTCCCTCAGAAGAATCACATTAGGAGAACCTGGAAGTCTCTGTCGAGACTGGGGCTCTGGCAGGTTTAGCAATTATTTTTTCCTGCAAAATTTACAGTCTAATGCTGAGGTAAGTCTGTGCTGTAGAAATACAGTGTAAATCATCCCCCTGGGGAGGGGGCAGCCATGGTTGCTGTGCTCAGACACTCTGAGAATTTGCATTTGGGCACCACAAAGCCCTTGGGGCTCAGCAGACAGTGGTGGCTGGAGGATCCACTTGGGTTATTGCTGCTCCAGCCTCAGAGTGCCTTTGTCCTAAAGCAGCTGTGATGGCAGAGCTGTGATCCCCGCCTGGAAAAAGCCCTTGGGCTATTTATTTTATATTTTGCTTTTCAAAAGGAAGTCATTTCTATTATTGAGCTTCCCAAAATTATCTTTCTTTTTATTTGACGTGGTGCAGGTGCTCACTGCCGAGCAGCACCGTCCCACCACTGTCACTGCAGTGTCCACAGCTGCCACTCCAGAGATGATAGTAAAAGATTTTAAAATCATAGAAAATTCAGGGTGTTAGAAAGAAAGTTAGGCTTGGCAAGCCCTGGGAAAAGTGTTAAAGGTAGGCCCTGGGAAATGTTAGGCCTTGTGCTTGCTAAAATCATGTGAAACTGCACCTGTGTGGTCAGTATATGATAAATGACACAATTGTTAGATGGGATTAGATATCATTATTATTTAAAGAATCATGAGAAGCTGTATTAGGGGTTTGAGGGGGATCATGAAAAATCCATGCTTGGGTAAAATCAATGTATACAATAGAACAATATAAATTTAATAATTAATATGTAAGTTGTATAACAATAGAGTATAAAAACATGTTCAACTCAAAACCAAGTTGGGTCAGATTTGGGTCTGTGTATCCCTGACACCCAGAGCTCTTTAATAAAGCACTTTTATATAATCATTCTGTGATTATGTGTGTTCCTGAATGCTAACAGAGACACATCCTGAACCATTCCCACATTCCCACAACACAGCAAGAGCATCAAATTCACCACGGGGAAGGCCATTCTTCCCATCTGTACCGAACTGGTTCTTGCCTCTCACCCCCAAATTGTCATTTCTTTGTTGTCTCCACAGCTAACAGTAGGTGAAACTATCCTAATGCTCACAGCAAATAGGGAAATCTTTAGAAAGGAGCTTCTGTCCTGCAATTAGCACAGATATCCCATGGTTAGGTTGGGAGACCAAAGCTGGAGTGACACAGAGAGGCAGGAGCTGAACTCTCACCCCAGCAAATGCTCTCAGAGCCAGCCAGCAGCACTCTTACCTGACAGGTTTGGGTTCCCTTCACAGCACCCTTCACACCTGTGCAGTGCAACATTTTACTGTGAAAACTCTGCCATCCTCTGAGCACCACAGGGATGGTAAGGAGCCTGAACATTTCCAGTGACAAAATACGTGCCTGGAGGGTCACAGGGCTGGGCAGAGCCTTGCTCCTACCCTGTAAAGCCTCTAGGGAGCTAAAGGAAGGCTGTGTCTTGAGAGAGAAATAGGATTCCCTTCCCTGGAAACATTAAACAAACTCTTCCTCTCCTCACTGTGCACTGGAGTATTCAGCCCCAAAAAAAACCAGGCACAGCTCCACCATCCTTCAATTTCAGCCCTTCCAGAATGGAAGTGCTGAGTGGAACTTCACCATCAAAGATGAGAGTGACTTTTTTGAGATTACACAGGGTGTCCAGGCTAACCAGAACTTACAGGAGGCCTTGGGAAGGACAAAGGGAAGGGAAGGGGAAGGGGAAGGGAAAGGGAAAGGGAAAGGGAAAGGGAAAGGGAAAGGGAAAGGGAAAGGGAAAGGGAAAGGGAAAGCTCCCCTGGCCCCCAGGGGACACAATTAGCCCAAGAACTGGGTTGGATGAGGAGCACACCCAGGAGCAGCTCAGATGGTTCACCAGCTCACACTTGGGCTCTCCAGCAGACTGTTTTTTTCCTCCTTTGAGGAGCAGCAGGCAGGAAATGTGCCGTGCACCCCGGGCTGGCTCCCACCTCCTCTCTCGCTCCAGGCCAGCGCACAGAGCACGTTTTGGCTCTGCAGATTTTCTCCTGCCTCCTCACAGCATAAAGAGAGCACAGTGTGGGTTTCCCCCAGCCCAGCAGACGCTTTCTGGGTGATGCTATGGCTGTGCCATTTCCACAGCTCATCCAGAATCTGCCTCACGTCACAGAGCGAGGCTCCAGCCCAGGTGCTGTGGCCCTCTGACACCAAGGTGAGTACGCTGAGGTTTGTGAGCGAGCCACCCAGCTGGCAGCTCCGGCTGGGGGACTGCTGCTGAGGGCAGCAGGGAGAAGCCCACACACCATGAGAGGATTTGATCATCCTCATAATTGCCTCCTGGGCACAGACAAGCTGCTTCTATGCTAGACGGGCAGAGGTAGCTTTTTAGGAAAATTTTACACATGCTGCTTCAGGCAATATCTTTTGGCCTGAAACAGCGCAATCCATAGGA